AATTAAAACGGAATTGAGGAACATATAACACAGAGGAAAGGGACATAGAAGAGGTAAGATGAATAGTTCCCAAACCCAAAACTTTAGTTGATGATCCATTAGCAAGAGTAACACTTTGAGAGGAAGGAACAGACTGAAAATCAGATAAGAGATGAGAACTACCAGTCATGTGATCGGATGCGCTAGAATCAAGAATCCAGGGACTCTGACTAGAGGACAAAAGACATGCAGGGGCACTAACTGATTGGGCAAAGTGCACCATGGAAGATGAGGTGGAAGGCCGTTGTTGAGACAGAAACTGAGCATACTCATTGCGGGGAATCGTGACCATAGCGGTCTCAACAGCCACATTTGGAGCAGTGGGTGTGGCAGAAAAAGAAGAATCCCCGTCATTAGAAGTCACTTGATGTGCATAAGAAGAATGTGGCGGTTTCCCATGAAGATGCCAACAGTAATTGAAAGTGTGATTAGTAAGACCGCAGTGAGTGCAAAGTTTTGAGTCTTTGCCTCTGCCACGACCACGACCACGACCACGACCACGGCCGCGCCCACGCGTAAAACAACCACCACCGCCACGAGAAGACTGAAAGCCACCCTAGTTCACAACTAAGGCAGAACGTTCACTGCTAAGAGGAGTAGTGACACCACTTGAAGCACCCCCTGAAGCGCCACTAGATAAAGTTGCACGCTGGAGTCTTGATAACATATTAGGAAGAGAGGGAAGTGCAGGGCTACCCAAAATCTGTGCTCGAACAGGTTCATACTCTTGTGACAATCCTGTGAGAATCTTAACAACATTAAAATCCTCACGTTGCATGTTTTTCACATCAGAGGTGATGGGTTGATACAAGTTCATTTCTTCACAAAGTCCCATTGCCCATGAGAGTTATTCTTCTAAACTGTGAGTCCCTTGCTGGAGGTCAAAAAATTGTCTACCCACCTCCTTGGCAGTGTCCAGATATAAGAAGTTGGAGCTAATATGCGGTTCAATACAATTCAGCATTAAGGAGATGATTTGAGCATCCCTTTGTTCCCATAAACTGAAATCAGCATCACTGTCTTTGGGTTTATCCTTAACCAAATGAGTGCCAAAGCCTTTGGCTTTCAGGAAAATGGCTACTGACTTGCCCATAAAATGTAATTTTTGCCATTAAGCTTGACTGAAGTCATGGGAGGATTGAAGGAGGTAGAAGAAAACAGGTCTGAACTGCCAGCCATGGAGAAGATAATAAAAAACGAACCTGAAAAAAAAATTACAGAATCTGTATTCTGGCCGGATCTGGGCAACCGGGTCGGATCTGGGCGAACTAGGTTGGATCAAAATCAGGTCTCTGCTATCCCGGTTTTAGTAAACCAGGGTTGGAATAGCATAACCGCATAGCCAAACACGGCTGTTCTTCTTCACAACCCCACTGACAGACACCGGCAAGCATGCACCGGCTACGGCAACCCAATCACAAGTAGCGGCCGACTCAATAATCAGCGACACCACACCGAATCAGAACCTCTGCAACTTCCGACCAAGAGAAAAGACGAATCAATGAAGCCTCACCTCTGGAAATAACGACGGTGGATGTCGGCGAGCTTGCTGACGACCAAAGTGGCAACAACACGAGCAGCCAAAGGGGCTTCAGATCTGACGATGACGAATGAGGCTTCAGATCTGAGGACGACGACGAATGAGGTTCTCAACCTACCGGCGACCGAAACTTGCGGCAAAGACACCAACACCACACTCGCGATTCCGATCGCGATTCCAATCTCATACAAGAACAACATAATTGTCGTTTCCCACACCCATGAATTCATATAGCTCTGATACCATGTTCTAATTCATGAGAGAGAGAGAGAGAGAATTCTGTATCTATATTTTGTGTATAACCCTTAAGCCGAATGAGGCTTATATAAAGGAAAAGAGTTATAATCTAATCACACAATGTTACTTAATTACACTATAATCCTAACTACTATGGGTAATTACATAATGACCCAACATAAATATATATATACATAAACATTCTAACAACTTTCTTTGTTTGGACCGTTGTTTGGGGAAAGATTTTGACAATTGATAGTTTGAGGAAAAGGGGCAATTGTATTGTTAATTGGTGTTGTCTATGCAAGAAAGATGGGGAGTCTGCTGATCACCTCCTTATGCATTGCCCTGTGGCGAATGACTGTTGGAATCTTATTTTTGGATTGTTTGGCATGTGTTGGGTAATGCCACGATCTACTAAGGAATTGATTCATGTATGGAGAGGATGTCGTGTGAAAAGGGATGTACGTGATTTTTGGAGAGTTGTCCCACATTGTGTTTGATGGTGCATTTGGAAGGAGAGAAATAGTAGAATGTTTGAAGAGAAAGAGTCGTCTACGGCAGTGGTGAAACTTCACATTCTTCATTCTCTTTTCAATTATGTGAAGAGGAGCTCTTGCTCTTCTTCTCATGGTTTAATTAATTTTTTGGATTCTTTGGGACCTTAGTCCCGGTTCCATTTCTGTATAAGGGACGCGTTCCCCTTTTGAACGCCTTTTTTATGTTATTATTACTTATAAAAAATAAATAAATAAAAAACACTACAGTCACCTATCCCTCCCCCCCCAGTAGCCGCCACAACACTAACTGGAAAATGCCGTCATCGACGCACTTTTCCTGATCTATTTTATGACACTATATTCCGGTGAATAGTCATGGTGGTCGCCGGAAATCTAGGCTCAAGAACCACAATTTGTGGCGCCACAACCACCATCCTCACCCTCACAACCATCACAACCATGCCCAAGGTCTCACGATCGTCGGCGGCGAGTTTGATACGATGGAAGCAACTTGGTTCATGTCCGCAGCGCGGCTTAGATGACGAAACGACAGTGTGGTTCACGTCAGCGGGTGGCTCAATATTCAACATAAACTTTAAAAGGGGCAATTGTCTTGTTAATTGGTGTTGTTTGTGCAAACAAGATGGTGAGTCAGTTGCTCACATTCTAATACATTGTCCTATAGCGAGGGATTGTTGGAATCTTATCTTTTGTCTGTTTGATATGCATTGGGTTATGCCTTGTTATCCTAAGGATTTGATTTGTATATGGAGAGGATGCCGTGTGAGTAGTGTTGTTTGCGATTATTGGAGAGTTGTACCACATTGTGTTTGGTGGTGCATTTGGAAGGAGAGGAATGTAGAATGTTCGAAGGGAAAGAATCGTCCACAGCGAGTCTAAAACTTCACATCATACGCTCTCTTTTTAGTTATGTGAAGAGGAGGTCCTGTTCTTCTTCCGAAGATTTAATTATTTTTTTGGCTTCTTTGGGATCTTAATCCCTAGTGCCACTTTTGTATAAGGGATGCGTTCCCTTCTTGAACGCCTTTTTTATTTCAATTATTACTTATCAAAAAAAAATTACGTAGTTGGTACCAAGTCGACTTCCATTTGCAACCTTACACTCGTTAATGGGTTTATTTTCTGTTCTGAAACCAAGTTCATTCCATTTGACCACATCAAACTCGATTCATTTATTTTACTTCTTACTAAATTTGTACTTCTCCCTTCTTCCGTTAGCCTACAGTTTGTTTTTGAACTTTGAAGGCCTTTTGGTATGCTAGAAATGAAAAAAAAGGTTGGAAAGGGCGAAACCATCTTTTTCCTTCTCCTCTTCTTCCTCTTCTTCTTCTTCTTATATATATATATTATATAAGTAGACCATGTAAGAACTTTTTCTTGTTTAGTTTAATTTCTTTATTCTTTCAAAGTCATATGACATCTGTATGGCATATTAATAATTTTTACTGGTAAATATCATGTAGAGGAATTGTATTTAGAAGAAAATTGTTCTGGATGTATGATAAAATAATTAGCAGTACTAACTAGAAATATTAAATAATATCCTTGTATGATGATTTGAAATTCTCAGAAAGTCTTAAAGGATGACATACGAGTCAAGGAAGCATGGCATAACCTTGTGTCACATCCGTCCCGTAGGCATGAACCAAATGATTGGTTTAGGAAAGCAAGGTTTTCTTTTGTGTGCGGTTCTGAAATTGGTAGCTGTAAGGGTGGGCGTTGAAGCAGCAGTTATGACTCGGTTTATTACCTTTCTTTTCATTTATGCACACATGAACACCTGCTGGAATGGCTTTCCTAAATAAGGCAAACAATAGGAAAATTTTAACGATTATCAAATTACAGAAAAAAGTGCAGTTTGATGTCCACTTCAATTCCCAACCATCAAAACAGTACTCCTGATGATTTCAAGCGCAAATTGGAAATTTTGGGTTAGCCACATCTTGTCTAAAATCTAAATGGAAAGAGATGGGACTCTATCTAATAAGTAAGAGAAGAGGGCTCTATCTTGCACGGACAGCATCCTTTTGAAGTTTGGATCAAGGAAAATTTGTTTTCTTGAGAGTAGTGTTCTTGAGATTACAAGACCAAAGTAGTTTCTCAAACGTTTTGGTAACCTGTTCTTTGTTGCTGTGACATCTCTCTCTCTCTCTCTCTCTCTCTCTCTGCACATATATATATATATATATGGTCTGGGTGTGGGGTCAAACCTCAAGCTAAGATAAAAAATGTTGAGAGTTTGCTGCTGTTAATCTTCCTACTTTCCTTTTACATCTCATTGCTATATAAAGTCTCCCTGTTTGCTTCTTTGGACGGCTTTATATTATTCTGACCCTTGCTAACATGATGTGAGTTTCGTGACTTGAGTTTTGACAGTTTATATTTATATTACTGTTAGCTATATATATTAAACATGTTTATGCAGCTACATACTATCTGTTATGTACTTGAGCATTGTTAGGTTCATCTTATGAAATGTTTAACTGCCATCCTATTCTACTTTATTTGCATGCATATTAGTCCTTGTCATCTGATTCATTATGCATCCATCTTCTTAGCGTCTAATGTCTGAATGCTGCATGTAGGAGATATTATTTGACATCTTTTCCCTGTCAATGTAGTCTTTCTCCTGATTTACACTTATCTGCCCGTTTTCTGCTTAGTTGTCCATCTTGTTACTCTTGTATTCGTGTGAATACCATCAAGACAACCAGTGATGCTGTTATTGAGAAGCTATTGAGAACTCTACCGAAAACTGGGTTACGAGATGCTATTGACAGCATGCACAAGTGCAAAAGTGATGCCAATGTTAAAGTTAATAATATGCTCCAGAAGCAGAAAAGTCTTGTGGAAGAATCTAATATCCCCAAGAACTTTGATGACTGTAGCAATGCAGCCTTAGAATTTTCCAAAAGTGAAGATGCCCTTAAGGCAGGCTTACAAAATGGAGACATTTCTAAGTGTCAGTTACCTGGGCTAGACTATGTTGTGTTTGTGAGAGGTTCAGGACCACATGCTATTGAATATAATTATGCACAAGATAGAAATCCAAAGGAGCCTAAGGAGGTAATTGTGAGTCGGAAATGTGCCGAAGCTGTTCTACGTGGTGCTCAGGTTAGCACACTCTTGTATTGCCTATGCGCTTAACTTCCTCTATCAAGATTTATTCTTTGCAATCTAAACCCCTGGAGTTTACATTTTTTTTTTTCCTTTCCAGATTACACATTCTTTTCTTTTTAACTCCTTAAGTTTTTCAGCTTCTCACACGTGACTAAACTAAACTATGTTGGTGTCAGATTATTCTTCCTGCACTTCTGCTTTTATTTTTATTTTCCTATTCCTTATGATTATTTCTTTCACAGTAGCTTCCTCAAATATTTTTTTTTCCTAGTTGGTACTCACACACACATGCCTCCATTGAGGCTCGAACCCCTGACCTCTCTTTGAGAAGTAGGAGCTTGGTACCGCTAGGCCACAGGCCTGTTGGTGCTTCCTCAAATATTAGTGTTTCCTTTTCACACACAAGGAATTTGCTTTTTCTTTTTAATGTTTCATGCAGAAGGAATTGCTCACTGTAAGGTGCTGATCCAATTCAACACGAGGCTCCGTTTGTTTGGATGTAAAATATTTTTCAGAAATATTTGTTTATTTTATGGTGTTTGGTTGTCGTAACATATTTATGAAGAAAAAAAATATTAAAACCTAACAAAAATAACTTACCCATCAATTTTCAGCCAGTTATTTTACACGCCCCGCCCGATGGACTCGACCTCAATCTCGACCTAGAGCTTTGCCAAACACCGAAAAGTAAAAGCAAAAAAAATATTTTACCTGAAAAAGGAAAATATTTTACGTCGAAACAAACAGAGCCTTAATTATAAATGAATTAAGTGTTTATCCATTTAAGTGCATTTGATAACGCATTTTGAATCTTACTTAAAATGAGGTAAAATTTTAAGTTTCTTAAATCTTCAGCACTTAAAATTCAGCTTTTAAAATTTCCAGTTTTATCAAACAGCTAAGGCTTCATTATTTTCTTTTTTTCCTACCGAAAACTGTAGGGCTTCTCAAAGATTTGTTATTATTCTGTTAAACTTGGAAGTTCTCACGTAGGCAACAATTTGAAATTTCAGAATGCTGAAGTGATATGATTATTACATGCAGTTTAATTCTTATAGATAAGAAAATGCTTTCATTTTAATTTTTGCCCACTCGATAATTATTACCTATATATATATATATATATATATATTTCATGTTATTTCTTGAAGAGGGGGTTTGGGGAGGGGGAGAATGTGGGATAGTCTATAGGAGGTGTATGTCTTTTACAAATGTAGTTTTAGATCATGTTATTAGGTCAATATAATTTTTTCTTATGCCTAACAAGCGTGATGACTGGACATTGTGCTTCTGTTTCCTTATGGTAGTTTTTATGTAGGTGTATGTTCCTGGTGTATTGGCTTGCAGTGGTCATGTTGAAAAAGGGGATGTAGTGGCAGTTTCAGTTGCTGTGGAGCAGCCTGGTCCTGATGGTGGATGGGGTATTGGTATAACACGTGGGACTGTTCTACAGGGTTTGCAGACAGGCAAGAAACTTATAGTTTTCTGCAGTCACTTATTAGACTGAATGTTCTTTAGTATAAATTGTTGAATCATTTTGTCTCTCGAGTCCTTGATTCTTATCAAGTGTTACATAAAAAATAACCACAGGAGTGTGATAGTTCATTTATTGAATGTGTTGCTTTATTAACATTAAATCTCAGTGCACTGTGTCCAAAAAGGGTTGATTGTGATAGAAATTTACTCTGTTGAAAGGAGTTGATTAGATGTGGAGTAAACTAGGTAAAAGTTAATTAAATCTGCAGCCACCCCCACCATAGAAAAAGAAAAAGAAAAGATGATGTGCATTCTGGCTTCGTTGAGACCGAGTGAAAAGTGTAGCCCACTGATAACATTGTGTTCAAATTGAACATTGGTATCCTCTTTTGCACGAGCAGTCAGTAATTAAGTGTGCGTGCCTGATTCATGTTCACAGTAAATAATTTGATCTATCAAGCTTGATAGATACTTGTGGTTCCTGGAATAGGTGATGGAAGAGAGGAGAGAGGAGAGAGATAGAGGTGAAGCATTGGCTGAGAAAAGAAGATAATAATTTGGGAATTTTTTTCACCGCACTATAATGGTGTCCTATTGTGTATTTATAGTTACAACAATAAGAGAGAGATATTATCTCAACAAACTTATTTGTTTGTTGTTACAACAATAAGAGAGAGATGGAGAGATTCTCTCAACAAACTTATTTGTATGTTATTGGTTCGTTACAAAGATTGGATTACCCTTTGATCTGATTTTCTGATTGATTGAATATATCATTAGTTAATCTCTTAACACCCCCTTCAAGATGATGATGTAGCAAGGATGAACCAACAACTTGTCTCTTAGGATTTGAAACCGGGGTACCGATAGAGCTTTGGTGAAGAAATCTGCTTTTTTGGTCAGCACTTGGAACAAACACGTTTTTTTTAAAGAGCCACATAAAACAATTTCCCTTAAGAAGTGATAGTCAATCTCAATATGTTCGGTTTTGGCATGAAGAACTGGGTTGGAGGCTAAGTATGTAGCACTGATATTGTTGAATGAAGGATTGGAGGATGGTGTAATGGATTTTGTAACTCCCGAAGAAAGTTTGTTAGCCACTTGATATTAGTTGCTCTGTGTGCTAATGCCCTATATTCTGATTCAACACTTGATGTAGAAACATTGGTTTGCTTCTTAGTGGCCTAAACGATGAGGATAGGATCATAGGACCAAAGTAAACACGAAAGCCAGTAAGAAAATCCCCTCAGATGTTCATCACGAGATTTAACAAGATGCATGTCAAAATGAGGAGTGTTCTTGATGTACCAAAGAATAATTTTAACGACAACTAAGTGAGACTCATGTGGCTGATGTATGAATTGGCAAACCTGATTCACGCATAATTTTTCTGTGGCACTAGTAATGATATATTGGACAAATCAAAGGGTAATACAATCTTTGTAACAAACCTATAACAAACAAATAAGTTTGTTGAGAGAATCTCATATAAGTTTGTTGAGAGAATCTCTCCATCTCTCTTATTGTCGTAACAAACAAACAACGGATAAGTTTGTTGAGAGAATCTCTCTCTCTTATTGTTATAACTATAAATACACAATAGGACACCATCATAGTTTGGTGAAAATTTTCCCAAAATTAATTTTCTTTTTCTCATCTAATCTCAGTTTCTAACTGTAACAAAAAGCTTGTTACGACAAAGGCAGCAAGCCAAGAACAAGCAAGAATCACGACAAAAAGTAAACAGGCCGCACACAAATAACACAAAGATTTACGTAGTTTGTGGCAAATCCTCCTCCACAGTGAAGATCTAGCGAAAGATTTCACTATGCAAAAATATCGAGATTTCTAGTTTCAGTCCCCAAACCCTAGCTCTTGCTTTCACTCTCTTTCTTGCGATTTTCAGTGTTCTTTCCTTACCCACTCCAAACCCTAATGTTGACCCTATTTAGTACTCATTTCAAATGAAGCATTTACTTTGACAGGGAAGGATGATGAAGAATTGTATAGGAAGGAAAAAATTGACCCTATTTAGCCTCTAATTCAAATCACAATAGAGTACTAAACAGGGTCTATGTCCTAGTCAAGTAAATGCTTTTGAATTAGAGGCTACATTGTGTAGGAAGTTTAATGAAGAACTAAAATTAAACATTGATAAGCTAGAAATAAATTTTAAGAGAACAAATAACGCAAGTGTAAAACTTAAACAAGACTCAAAGGACAAAGTTGAAAAATCTTCTAAAGAAAAAGTTATCCGTAGGAAGTCTAGTGAAGCTAGAAAGTTAGATCCCTCTAAGAATGTTCCCATGTGTCATTATTGTTGTAAAAAAGGTCAAATTAAATTTAAATGCTCTAATGCTACGTTTGGTGTGCAGGATTGGAATGTCCATTCCAATCATTCCTTTGTTTGGTATACAATTTAAAGTGGGAATGGCCATTCCATTAGAATGAAAATCCATTCCACAACTTAACTTATGAAATGGCCTTTCCATTCCCAAGTAATTTATTTTAAAAAATCGACTTCCCAAAAAACACTCATATTTCAAGTCCAAAAACCATTACCTTCCACCACAACCATCTTCGCCTTTCACTACCACCACCACCACCACCACCGCCTTCCACCACCACCACCGCCATCGACTTTCACCACCACCACCACTTTCCACCACCACCACCACCACCACCACCGTCACCGCCTTTCACTACCGCTACTGCCACCGTTTGCCGCAACCACCACCGCCGCCGCCTTTCACCACCGCTACCGCCACCACCTTCTACGACCACCACTGCCATTGCCTTTCACCACCTTCCACCACCGCCGCCGCCGCCATCGCCTTTCACCATTGCCACCCCTTCCACCACCACCACCGCCATTGCTACCGCCTTTCACCACCACCACCACCTTCCACCACCGCCACCGCCACCGCCACCGCCACCGCCACAGCCTTACACCACCACCACCACCGCCGCCTTCCTCCACCACCACCACCGCCGCCTTCCACAACCACCACCACCACCGCCACCTTCTACCTCTGCCACCACCACCTTCCACCTCCGCCACCACCTTCCAGCACCGCCACCGCCACCACCTTTGACCACCACCACCACCACCACCATAGTCACACCACTATTTCCTTCCACCACAACCACAACATTACTGCCATTGCCTTCCACCAACACCACTGCCACCTTCCACCACCACTACTGCCACCACTTTCCACCGTTGCCACTACCGTCGCCTTCCAACACCACCATTTACACTACTACCGCTTTCCACCATCCACCACCGCCACTGCCACCATTTATTTTTAAAAAATTATTAGAAAATGTCATTTTGTTAATTTAATTTATTTGTTACTAAGAGGAATATTTTGGAGAATTCAATTAGAAATTTATTCTATTCTAAATTTTAAATTGGTTCAACCAAACACTAGAATGGTTATTATCATTCAATTCCTACACATTTCATATTTACAACCAAACAATAGAATGAGAATGACCATTCCATTCCATTCCCATTCTCATTCCATTCCCACTTGCATTCCATTCCATTCCTGCACACCAAATGTAGCGAATTAATTACTTTACGGAAAAAAAAGAAAACACGAGAAATTCTCTCTAAGAATAGCAAACAGTAAATTCAGACTAAACTCGGCCACTTGTTTACTACCAGTATCCACGCGATGAAATTAGGAACATGAACAAAATATTATCCAATGCCATAGAAATATTATGCGTATGGCTGCTTATTTGAGTAAGAAGAGGCCTTCAACAAAGAAATTGTGAACTGCCCCCAAGCATTTAGTGTTTTAGCTAAATTAACTTAATTAAACACTTAATGATCAATAAGATTCAACCAATGACAAAACTAATTTCAAAATTCAAACAAAAGCATACAAACTCATCTACTTTCTCAAATTATATCACATCACCAAAGAAACATACAATTTTTTTTTTATTGTAACTTAATAAGCATGCTAACCAATATCCATAAAGTACTATTGAAACCATAGAATTGAGTGCGTTCAGACAATTTTGCAGCTCTCCAGGTGCATGAGCCTGCCAGAATATTTGACTCTTTGACGGGTACACAAATATGCTGCATGTTGGTGTACTTTCGAAATGTTGCCAAAATTAGGTTTAGAACTGTTAACAACCATCTACTCTAAAAGTTTAAGCTATTAGAGAGGGTGTAATTTTAATATTTAAATCTTTCAATACGCTCCCTCATGTGTGACGTTCTTTTTTTTTTTTTTTGTTTTTTTGATAATTAAGCAAATTCATTCAAAATAAGTTCAAAAGGGGAACGTGTCCCAAAAACAACGAAGGGATCCTATGGTCCCAGAGAAGAAATAAAATCAATCATCTCCTTCAACGAGGAACAAAGCCTACCTGAACCTCAAAAACATAAAGATGTAATAAAAGCTGACTTAAGAACAACAATCGAGGATTCCTTTCCTTTATAGGATCTATTATTCTGCTCCCTCCACAAACACCACCATAAACACAATGGCGCCATCCTCCAAAACCCACAAGCATGGCCTCCCATATAACACCCTCTCCAAGCCTCCATCAATCCTCTCGTAGATCGAGGCATAGCCCATGAAACCCCAAACAGTCCTAGCAAAAGACACCAACAATCCAAAGCCACTGGAGAATGCTTAAGAAGGTTATCCACCGATTCCCCATTACACTTACACGTACAACACCAGTTAACTGTGATTTGTCTTCGCCTCCTCAAATTATCAAGCGTCAAGATCTTGCCCCACACCACTGTCTAAGTAAAGAATGCCACTTTGAGCGGCACCTTAGATCTCGACACTATTTCCCACGGAAACATAATCCCTGTAGTATTTGAGAGGCATCGGAAAAATGATTTCACTTCAAACGATCCTCGAGAAGCAAGCAGCCAAACAAGCGAAACTCTATTTCCGCTACGGATCTCAAACAGATATAAATGATCTAACAACCCGCAAATGTCGTCCAACTCCCAATCCTGAAACGCTCGCACAAACCGTACATCGCAAGTCAGCCTCCCGCTATTAAGCCGATAGCAATCATCAACCGAGGCATACCTATCAATAGCAATCCTAAACAATCTGGGAAATGAACAAGCAAGGGTACAATCACCACACCAAAGGTCTTCCCAAAACCTCACGTCCCTACCATCCTGAACTCTAAATCTGATGTGTTTGGAGAACTCATTCCATCCTTTCCTAATGGCTTTCCAAACTCCGACACCAACCTATGACGTTCCACTCTGAATCTCCACAACCACTTACCAAGGAGAGCCCTGTTAAATGGCACCAACCTCCTTATCCCTAGACCTCCGGTCTAAATCGGCCCACAAACCTGCTCCCAACGAACAAGATGATGCTTAAATTCTCCTTGTAATCCATCCCATAGAAAATTCCTCTGAAGCCTCTCTATCGAACTAGCAACCACATATGGAATCTGGAATAGGGATAAAAAATAAGTAGGGAGACTTGACAGCGTGCTTTTCAAAAGAGTGACCTTCCCTCCTTTCGATAAGTACTACTTCTTCCACCCTGCAAGTCTCCTCTGAATCCTCTCCACCACCGGATCCCAAACACTCACAGTCCTCGAAGAAACTTCCAAAGGTAACCCCAAGTATGTAATCAGAAAGCTACTAATTCCACATCCAAGCACAGAGGCTAACTCACCAATATTCTGCACTTCCCCCACTCCTACATTCACTTTCAAGCTTGAAATCGCCTGAAAACAAATTAGCACCGATCTCAAGTACCTCATCTGGACACCTCAGCCTCACAAAATACCAACGTGTCATCCGCAAACAATAAATGAGATATCTCCATATGATGAGCATCACCCCCACCCACCATGAACCTCTTAATAAAACCCAACTCCACCGCCCTCCCCATCAACCTACTAAGAGCCTTCGTAACAATAATGAACAAAAAAGGAGACAAAGGATCCCCTTGGCGCAAACCTCTCCAGCTACCAAAAAAACCAGTCGGAGACCCATTAACCATCACCGAAAATCTGGCTGAAGATATGCAGGCCTCAATCGACCTTCTCCACTTATCCCCAAAACCCATTCAGTCCATCAAATACAACAAGAACTTCCAGCTCACATGATCACAAGCTTTCTCAACATCAAGCTTACAAAGAACCCCTGGGATGCCACTCTTTAGCCTCGTATCCACACATTCATTAGCGATAAGAGCTGAATCAAGAATCTGACGCCCACCTATAAAGGCGTTTTGAGACTCCGAAATGATATCGTCCAGAACACCCCTCAACCTTAATGTTAGAACTTTAGCTATTAATTTATAAATGTAGCCCAACAAACTAATAGGTCTAAAGTACTTAACATTCGTAGCTCCCCCCTTCTTTGGAATAAGTGCAATGAACGATGCATTCAAGGAACTCTCAAACCTCCCCTGAATATGAAAGGCATGAAACGTAGCCATCACCTCTGCCCTAACCACATCCCAACTCTCTAGTAGAAATCTCATAGTAAAACCATCTGTCCCCAGAGCTTTGTCCCCGTTACAACTCCTTAGCGCCTTCAACACTTCCTCTTCAGAAAATGGACTCTCCAAATCATCTCTATTAATCTCAGAAATGACGTCAAAGTGCAGACCATCAAGCTGGGGTCTCCATAAATAAAGCTCCGTAAACAAACCATGATAAAAAGAGACAATCCCCTGACATTCTCCTCCCTAACCAGAACCTCCCTATCAATTGTAATCCTCCCAATGTGATTACCTCTCCTATGGGCATTTGCAAGGCGATGGAAAAACTTAGTATTCTTATTGCCTTCTTTAAGCCGTATGGCTCTAGATATCTGCCTCCAAGAGATTTCTTCCGCCACTGCAATCTCAGCAATCTCCTTCTGGCACGCATCCCTCTTACTTTTCTGACACTCATCAATGCCACTAACACCTTCCCGCCTATCAATCTCGGCAATCTCCGCAAATGCCCTATTCTTCCTCCACTCCAAATTCCCAAACACCTCCTTATTCCACCTTTTAATCTCATGTTTCAATCCCTTAAGCTTTCTCACATGTGGCATTCTTTTGGTCCAACATGTATTTCAATTTTAATTGTCAGGGTGCCACAGGACCTTACCTGCCCTGATACCATGTTAACTATCATCTACTCTAAAAGCTTAAGCTATTAGAGGGTGTAATTTTAATATTTAAATCTTTCAACAAGAACATATTTATTTTGAAGACATATCGCTATATAGCTATACTGATGTTTGTGAAGGTCTATGGAATCTAAGATCAAATTCTAAATGTGGTCAGATATGTGAGTAATCTGTTACCTGCAATATATTTGTTTTATAAAAAATGTATACTATGGCAGTTTTTTATTTTTTTATTTTTTATACTTTAATATTTGTTTAGTATTATGCTTAACAAAATAATTTTTTTCCATTTTCTGCTAAAAGAATGTTTTAAAATTTCTTGGAAATTTCGGTTTGACTTTTGTTATTGTTCTCGTAGATCCTTATTATTTTGAACGGAATGGACTGTATATTGGTCAAGGAACCACATTGATGTCAAGAGCTGGGATCTTCCGCGTTTCAGAAGGAATAGCCTTGGATATGAAAAACAGAGTATTTCAACTACCTTCCTTTCATGGTATACATCTTCTCTTAGGTGAATATACTTGAAAAAATTATGCTGTTTATAAGAAACTTAGTGTTGGGCCCATGCATTTCAGTATTCATAATTCAATGTAGTTTTATTGTGTATTCACATATACAACATCCAACAGTTTGAAATGGGTCATAGAATAGAGAATATGATTGTTGCATCTAGTTAATATTGGTCCGGAGTGATCTGACCAAGATGCCCTAATGGGCTGCCACATTTTATTTGAAAATATATGCAGTCGGAAAATCAAGGTAACAAGTTCAAGGGAACTGAGTAGATGACTGTATTAAATGCAAATAAGCTAATTACGGGTCATTCTATATTCTCTTTGCATGAGAGGTAACTGATACTCAGTATCATATTTTAGGTTATTTGAATGTTATATGGAAACATTGTATTCCGACTAGAATTTTGTTCTTTATGCTGAATGCTGGGATTATAGTGAAGACTCACTTGGCTAGGGAATTCAAGGTAAAAAACCATGAAGTGCTTTCTTGGTTTGAAGTGGTTAAATCAGAGAAGAGTAGCGTCTTTATTCAGAAGAAGTATATGCTACATCTTCATAGACAAACATGATTGTTTGGTAGGGTTGCAACTCGGGCGGGTTAGAGGTACAACTCGGATTCAATGCGACATATGAAATGTTCAAATCCTAACCCAACCGTAGCCCGGCCTTCCACTCGAACTACTCAACCACCCATCCTTTAAAATTTTAAACTCAGGTTGGATTTAGGTTTGCAACTCGGGCTGAGATTTCAAGTTAGAAAGTCAGGCCAATTCAGGTTGCCTGTGTGGCCAATCTCCACACTAAAACACTAATGTGAGACAACAATGCGAGCACCATACTTGAACAAAAATTAACAAAAATATTGAACTCAATGTGCAAGTAATACAAATATTACAAACTACCTATCAATATGCAAACAAAACAAACAAATATATATATATATATATTACACACAACCAAATCCGAACCCAACCCAGACCAAAATGAATTCGGGATCCTTATTCCAAATAAAATTTGCACAAGCCCAATTTTTTTTGGGTTGGGCTCGGGTTAGCCAGCTTGTGTTGCAGCCCCATTGTTTGGCTGTAAGTTCATTGATATACCCTAAGTAGCATGGACACGGGACATTGGACATGGATACGTCGACACGCCAAATTTTAAAAAAGTAGGGCACGGGTACGGCTATAAATAAATATGAATTTTTATTTATATACATCCATTTTATTTTATTTATTTATTTATTTTTTTTGTCCTGGCTAGAAAAAAAGGACTTAAGGGAAGGGGAGAGGGCTTCAACATCTAAAGCTAATACAAGCCAACTTGGCCTTAAGGGCCAATAAAGATCAGTATGGTGTGATTGTAGAGCCCATTTGCCTAACATGTGGGCAATTGAGTTACAACATCTGGGTGACCAAGAAAGAGAGAAGTCCCGATGAGAGGTAAGGAGTGAGATTGAGTAATAGTATTATAAAACTTAATTCATTTCTAATTTTTATACTAAGAGTTATAATGACTTTTACACTATATATACAGTTATTCGACTACTTTGTCATAATAATGTTTTTATTTTAAATGACAAAATATCATTTAATGCTTCGCTTGTGATCATATGTGTATAATGTTAATTTTTCTTCAAGAAAAAAGTTGAATACTTTAGAATGTATTAATATTATTTTCAAGATCACCAGTTAGACTTGTGTTAGAAATATTTTGAAATGTCAATGTAAGAGTCCAAGAAGTGTCCAGAAGTGTCGGGAAAGTGTCCAAAATAATAAAAAATTATTTTTATTTACGAACACGTATATGAAGTGTCGGACATGTGTCCGAGGAGTGTCTGACGAGTGTCGGTATTCGACATGGACACGACACGGGTACACGGACACGACACGGGTACGGCTCAGTCCTATAAGTGTCCGTGCTTCATAGGATATCCCTATTGGGTATTGTAAACAAAGGAAAAGAAAAGAGTGCAATGAGATACCTATTAGAGAATTAAAGTGCATCTTGTGCACTTTTTTTTTTTTGGATAAGTAAGTGCATCTTGTGCGCTTTGATTACATCAAAGGCCTCTTGTAAATCGGCCAGATGGTTCTCTGCCTTTAAGCTCTTCACTAAGCATATCATCCACATTTACCTCCATATTTCTTCCTATCTGCTAAACATTGTGTTGACCAACCTTTGGTAAGTGGCACCAGCGCTCTTTAGTCCGAACGGCATCACTTTATATTAATACAAGCCCCTGTCGGTGATTAAAGAAGTTTTCTCACTGTCCTCGGAGTATACATGGGCATCTGATTGTATCCAGAATAAGCATCCATGAAACTCAATAACTCATGCCCCGTAATTCCTTCCACCAACATATCGATACTCGGTAAAGGGAAACTATCCTTCGGGCATGCACTTTTAAGATTTGTAAAATCAACGTAGAGCCTCCACATGCCATTTGCTTTCTTCACCAAGACCACATTTGACAGCCAATTGGGATAGTGTACTTGAATAAAATTGGCTTTCAGGAGTTTTTCTACTTCCTCTGATACGGCTAGGTTCTTTTCTGGAGCAAACGCCTGCCTCTTTTGTCGGACGGGTTTAAGGGACGGATCCACGTTGAGTTGATGCTGCACAATGGCAAGGTCGATACCGGGCATGTCTTCATGCGTCCATGCAAAGACATCATGGTTTCTTCTAAGGAACTAAACGAGTAAATCTTTGATAAGCAGGTTGAGAAGCGACCATGTACTCACTTTTTTTCCTGGCTTCCTCATCCTCTAGGTTAACCTCGACAAGATCTTCTATTGGTTTTGCCCACTGAGTGGACTTCTTTTTAGCCAACGCCTTGAGACCCTATATGGTTAACGCCTCTTATAGCTTTTTTGCTCTCAAGGCAGCGGCGTTACACTCTCTTGCTGACGCCTAGTTGCCGCCTAACTTTCCAATTCCTTGCTCCATAGGAAACCGCACGAGTAAGTAGTAACTAGTAAGTGAAAGTAATAGCCCTCATAGCATTCAAGGCCGTCCTCCCCAAGATGATATTGTATGTAGACGAGCAATCTACCACCAGGAAGTCTACTATCACAGTGACCTGTCTTGGACTGATCCCTGCTGTCAATGGGAGCATAACCGCCCCTAAGGGGAACAACTCTTCGAAGAGGCCAACTAGGGGTGATGTAGTAGGTCTCAACCGTTCTCTGCCTATGCCCCATCTTGTCAAAAGCATAAAAAAACAGTAGGTTAGCAGAACTACCATTGTTGATTAGCACGCGGTGGACTTTGTAATTGTGCACGACCATCGTCGTGACCAGGGAATCGTTGTGGGGCTGGTGGACTCCCTTGGCGTTTTCCACCAAAAAGGTGATGACTTGTTCTTCCACCCAAGGGGACTTGGTTGGGGTTCGTGCATCCGAACCTCGTGTACTCCTGTGGCTAGCCCCTTCTTAATCCCCTTTTTGTCGTTATTTGACTTACCCTTCTGGGCGTGTTCATAGCGTTCTTGGCATTCATATGGAGAACAAAAATCTGGAAGACTCAATCCCCCATAAAAGCTGTAAGAGCCACCTTGTCATCTACTTCGTTCACCTGCAACATCTTGGTATTGAACCGACTGATGAAGTCCAGCAACAAGACTCCTTTGTCCTGCTTGACATTTAGCAGATAAGTAAGCGATTTTCTATGCCTTCTTCCTTATGAACCAAGAGTGGGAGGGGGTGAATTGATTCTTTCTCTTTTCTTTTAAACACTTGGACACTTTTCACAATAAACCATTCACGGATTAAACCAAGTTCGTGAAACCTTAATCTGTCACAAGTGTTTGATGAAACTTCACAACCACAAAGACACCAGGTTTACAAGGAAAATCCCCCTCAATAGGGATTAAAAAACTCGTGGGCTTCACCCAAAATCATCCACTAGTTGTATGCAAGTTGATACACACTCAGCTGTCTCACATTCTGCACACCCCCTAGCTCACCTTGTGCACACAGCACTCCCCCTGTCCTAAGCACCCCTGCTTGTACCAATACAGCTCTCACAGCTCTTCAAATACATGATAAAACTTGAATATACATCTTACAATAGTTGTTACAAGAAATCAGAATGAAAACACAGCTACAAGATGAAAACAGTACAAAAGTACTTGAACAATTTATGCAGAAATGAGGTATGACTAATCAAAATGAAATACAGCCTTAATACAGACCCAAACTTGATTGCCACAACCTTATCTCACCAAAATACACTTGATCAGATGATGAACATGATCAATATATTAAGGTATAACAATATCAACTCAATATAAGGCTTGTTTTCTGCAGAAAATACATACTGGCTAGGTTTGAAGGTCCAAATCCAGAAATGACCACAGCATAGTTCAAATCTCAACTTACATAACCTCAAAATGATAAAGTAAACTTGCTCAAATGATAAACGTAGTAGCCACCACAACAAGATATCAACATATAGTACTCAAATCAGAAGCTATACACCAAGAACTACACAAAAACTGAGTTCTGAGAGGTAAAAAACTATTGCAGTGAAAATATGAACAATAACGTGGTTTTACAGATGTAAAATGTTAAAACAAACTTGACTCAACCTTCTAGGAGCTCTGGAAATGCCTCACTACATATGTAACCCTTGAACCACCATCTTGCACCAGAAAACAACTTCATAAGACCTTATAGTTTATTTCAATATGATGAACACACTCACTATAATGATTTCTGAGATGAATTAAAGCTCACACAATGGACTTAAAACTCAGAAATGCTCATCTTCATTTGTCTCTCGAGTGTCTCACACAATGTAGCTCACAAACAATGTCTCACAGCTCGCAAGAGGCACACTGTACACAATTGCTATAACAGTATATATATAGTGGTACATTGTGTGCCGATGCAGCCCTAAAAGTGGATGGAATTGTGCTACAATCCACCAATCATTGGAGAGGGGAATATTATGACTTTCCCTGTGTGAAAGGACCACTTTACCCTTGCCAACCCAGTCTTTTTTGTCTAGTAGTACAATGTATAACTGAATACATACATGTATGGGTTTGTGATAAAAATTCTAACTTGTTGCCAAAGAATTGTGCAACTTTCATAGAATTATCTCTAAAGGACCACATTACATGTGTCAAGCATGTGCACTACTCACACATAAACTTATAGAAATGCCCATGGAAGGACAAATGTCAGTGTAAACCAGAATTATGACCTATTCAACCTGTAACAAAGGTCTGTAATACAATGTACCTTCCTTAATGAATATTAAATATACCATGCACTTCTTGCAATAAAGTGCCCAACGAATTGCTTGCTGAGCTCGTCAATCTTATGGATTAAGCCTGGCTTCAACCTACTGAACCAAGCTCGTGCCGATCATTTGAGCGTGGCAGGAAAGGCCCTGCATATGATTTGGTCTGGCACAACCTGCAAATTCACAAGTGACATGAAAGTTTGTAAATGATCAAAGGGGTCTTGAGTTCCGTCGAAACTGTGGTGTCTTGAACTTCGTTGGCAACAGGAGGCCCATGATCTCACGAGAAAAAGGCAAATTGGTCTTGTGTACTAGTTCGTCAACCGTAGCAGGGCCTTTGCCTTTTAAGGCCTGGCCATGTCTTCCACCCTCAACTTTAGATCCTTAATCCGTTGGTCAACATAGGTAGCTTCGATGTGCTCCCCAACTTAAGATGCATCCTCCTGCTGTTGGGAATAGGGCGTGGGAGTGCGCAACTCCCTTTGTCGATCTTCTACTTGGCTACATTCGACTCCGTCATCGTCTTGGTCTAGGTGATCACCTTCCCGATTAAGAGGTACAGGTGGTACAAAAATGATAGCCAGGCATTGCATAATTGCCACATTTTGCTGGACCAATTGATTCATGCCTTGACTAAGGTTATGGACCTGTTGTTCCAACGCTACAACACGTTCCCCATGCCTAGGCGCGTCTTTATGACGAGTAGCATGCATCGACTAATCTCCCTTGGCACGGGACTGAGAACCACTTGATCGGTCTCCCCCACGATGGGATTGACTCTTGTGACCGCCATCATGGTGTGAATGGTGGCCATCGTCGTGATGTGACTGGTGCTGACTCCCATCGCCATGTTGTGATTGGTCTCTAGCGCCATGGTGCGGTTGGTGCTGACATCCCACTTGAGTTTTAGATCGCAACTGAACCATTGTGATTCCCACAGATAGCGGCAACTATTGATGCATGATTTCACATTGATCAGGAACGACGTTGTATTTGAAAGAGAAGAGAGAAGGTAGACGATAAAGTTAGTACTATATCGGGAAGATGAAAAGACTTTTGTAGGGATCTTTTGTTGTACCTCTTGAGTTAACCATTGTGATTCCCACAGACAGCGGCAACCTTGGTAACATCCCACTTGAGTTTTAGATCGCAACTGAACAATTGTGCCCCTCCGATTGGTCTCCAGCGCCATGGTGTGGTTGGTGCTGACATCCCACTTGAGTTTTAGATTGCAACTGAACCATTGTGATTCCCACAGACAGCGGCAACCCTTGATGCAAGATTTCACATTAATCAGGAACGACGTTGTATTTGAAAGAGAAGAGAGAAGGTAATCAGAGGGGCACCGGTGTGGTACTGGCGTAAGAGCCTTCGACGATAATATGTCTATGGGACGCGTTCCCCTATTGAACGCCTTTTTTAAATTTATTATTACTTATCAAAAAAAAAAGAGTCTTCGACGATAAAGTTAGTACTATATCAGGATGATGAAAAGACTTTTGTAGGGATCTTTTGTCGTACCTCTTGAGTTGACCCCCCCTCCCTCTCTTTTATAGTAGCATTTAAGCAGGGGATTTATTTCCTTTTCTTCCCCATAACGTGTAGGAAAACTATTAGTTATCCTTATTGTTATAGCAAATGCAATGAATGAAGCAACAATTAAAAAACGCGACAGAAAAATAAACACATAACTCAAAGAACACAAAGATTTATACGCGGTTCTGCAAAGCTTACGTCCACGGTAGAGATCCGGCGAAAGTCTTCACCATATGTAAAATCGGAGATTACAAGTTTTAGCCCCACTCAATTCTATATGAATTTTAGTGTCTCTCTCACAACCCACTCCAAACCCTAAACACCCTTATATATCAGGCTACAAGAGAGTACTAGAGCTTTGGTGGGCTTGGGCCCCCACAAAGCTCATCCAACCGGTCGTCGGGTCGCGCGACCCTACACCAAATTCGGGCCACATCATCACACTTGTGTCATTAACTGGTTGTAGTCCATCCAACTTCTAGCTCTCAAACTCCCTTTAAGACTCCGCATCAATAGGAGACTCACTCTAGGTTCTTGCACTCATGAATTTTGGGCATTTCCTGAATTAAGAATTGTGGTGGTGGTGTTAAGCACTAGTAAGGGATGTGAGGAGTTATACAAGCATATTACATATGTTGTGAAATGGGCAGATAGTGGGGTTTTTGCACGATCATTGGTATGGATGACCTTTTGAAATGATTTTTCTGGGCCTATCTAGAACTATTGTTGATTAGGAGGCCTATATCACCTATTTAGTTAGATTGTAAGGGAGGAATGGGTTGGGATCCTCGTTTCAGCAGGACGATTACGTGTTATGGAGTTTATTGGAACTCTCTGCCTTTGCTTTAGATTGGGGGAGTAAGGATCCCTGAATTAGGCATTGATAAGGTAAGGAAGTTTGAGTTGCGTTCTTCCTATAAGGTGTTGAGGGGAGAGAGATCCTCCTGGTTTCCCTAAAAATGATTCTGGGTAGTCCCATCCAATGTGGCTCTTTTTTACGGTGGATTGTAGTTTTAGAGAAGATTTTGACCTTTGATAATTTTGTTGCAAGGGAAATTTCCTCCTTAATTGGTATTGTATAGACGAGAAATTTAAAGAATATGTGAATTATCTGTATTGGTGAGAATTTTATAGAATATGCGAATTATCTGTTGACCATTGCCCGAGGACTAGGGTATTGGTAGTTCATAAGGAAAACCTTTTCCTAAATTAAATCAAACCGTTAGATATCAACCTTTCTATATTTTTGGCTTATGGAGATCTTAAAGTTTGGTTGATTCATTACTAGATTTTTAGGGGAGATGGGATTTAATTCCAACCTTTGCCCCACACCCCCCATGCGACAATTTTCTCTTTTCCTCCAAGAGCTTAGTTTTAGTGGTATTCCTATACTTTTCAAATTGAAGATGAAAAAGTCGGAAAAGGCTTTTAAATCATTGTTGAAGCGACATTAGGGTTCCTATACACTATAAAGAGGCCTTATGAGATTTCTAGAGATTTGGCCCTTACATACACTGATACACATATCAAAATTTTAGAGAGTAAGGGCTTTTTTAGTTCTTTTTTTCATAAACTTACTCTTAGAGTTTGAGAGGACTCTTAGGGATTTTGGGTATTCTTTCACTTTGTGTTGGAGTTTTGCAAGGAGATTTTTGAAGAATGGCTAGCTGCTGCTTTTTAATTATGTCTTCACATTAGAGTGTGCTGATCCTCTGGTTGGAGAGCGTCAATGGGGTAACATGGAGTACTTGGTTGCTGCTATTATAAGTAGCAGCTAGCCTTGTAGATTGAAGTGTTTGAGAATCAAGTTGATCTGTGCTCGACAATGTGTAGAACTGGCTGGAACTATGTGACTGAAGTTTAAATCAATGGATGATAATTCGTAGTCTGATTCTATAATTGGCCGTAATGTTGTTTTTCTCATTAGTAGTGGAATAGGTAGCTCTCAACAAGGTTCTCTGGGTTTTTCCTATTGAGGATTTTCCACTTAAAACTACTCTTTATTTTGTTTCTTTACTTCTGATTGGGTGGTTGGTATTTGTTGCATGACTGACTAGTTGGTTAAAAGTAGAAATTAATAATCAGTTAGTTTTAGTCATTGAACATGCAAACAGAAGAGACCTATGCACCTTGTCTGGATCTTTCATCGCTGTGATTCCACTGGGGTTTTTTGCATTCACCACTCAAACAAAAGAGACCTATTTTCTCTTTTGTTTTTTAGTTTGTTTTTGTTTTTGTTTTTTATTTTTTTGTTTTTTTATTTTTTTCTGTTTGTTTTTCCCCCTTTCCTTATTATCATGGAATATAAGTCATCTGCATGAGGATCTTGCCATCACTATTTCTTTATTTGTTGCTACATTTGCATCTGCTCAGTATATGATGGTGTCCTTTTTTCCAATACAAATTAAGATATGTTATTGAATGGTAAGTACTTAAGATGTAAAATGGATGGGTCAGACTTGAAATCCTTTTAGCATGAGACTAAAGAAGTCAACAAAATCACCATCGAGGGAGGCTCGGCAAAATCGCATAATGTTGCCAGTTAGTGGGCATTTTACCCTCTGTGAGCTTCCGTGTTGTTTTGATTTCTAGACTTATGTTCTGTTGTTATGGTTTACTATTTCATCTTCAAACTTGCTGATTAGATGTAAAGATTTTCTGACTTTACTTTTCCCAATCTCTTTTTTTTTTTTTTTCCCCAGATGTGCTTGAGGGGGAAATTTTTCTTCAAAACCTGCCAAGCATTATAACTGCACATACCCTAGGTATTTGTCGTCGCCTTTTGGTTGTCTAACTGATTATTAATACTCTCTTCTCTCTCAGATGGAAGTATTGCTGTCTATTGTGATATTTGTTTTTTACATAACTTAATTGACTATACCTACCGAACTCATTTATCCTTTCAATTGTTCCTGAAGTCTTTAATAATTTAAGGGTTTTTTTTTTATTTTATTTGCCGGTAAGTTTAATAATTTAAGTTTTTAAGATCCAGGATTTGTGTTATAGAAATTCTAGCTGCTGGAAGTTCAGGTCCAGTTTTCTTTCTGACTATAGACATTTTTTGGGGTTTTAGGATCCCCGTGTGCGGACTCCTTATGGAGGTTTGAAGAGAGGGAATTTGAATCCATATGGGATGAGCTATCTAATTGAATAAGAATTGATACGCGGTTTCTCCCCAGTGTTCTTTTAGAAATATTGGGATGTCATCAAGAGAGATATCACGTTGCATTTAATGATTTTCTTCGATCAGGTAGTCTGTTTTGTTTTCGGAAGTTCGATCAGGTAGTCTGTTGAAAAGCCTGAATCGTAGAACTTGAGTTTTGATCCCAAAGGTGAAGAATCCAACCAAAGTGATGCAGTTCAGACCAATTGCTCTTTGTTAGGTCATCTACAAAAGATTTTCAAAGGGGCTTAATTGGATTTATTCATCAATATATGGCACAACTCCAGTTGAAATGGATCAGAACTCCTTGTTGTGCAAGTAAGTGTAGCGATCTTAGGCTATCGGGCAGCCTACCTTCGAGCCAATCATGGCGCCCTAAAGGGTATTCATGATTTAAACACTACTCAATGAGAAACCCATAAATTTTCTAATCAAACTCATTAGATAAAGACTTAAAATTGAATTTACAATTTAGGATACTGTGCATTATGCAATTGATTTTGTTTCACAGGGGTTGAGTTTAGGTTTCTTGTGTTAAATATCGAATAATTTGTGATGCCCTTGTCATCTCTTGAGCACCCCTCACATCGTTTTAGCATCCCTATTTTAATTAAATCCTAGTCCAATAAAACTTTTTGAAATAATTTGTTACATTTTTAAAAAGGGTGAAATACCCCGACCTCCCCTGAAGTTTGGCCAAATATCTCACAGCTGAAACTATTATCAAAATAGCCCTGACACCCCGTGAGGTTTGTCCAAATTTCTCTGACCACTCCTGACGTTAGTTAGAGTAGTTAAGTCTCTCAATGGAATATTTTATAAATGCCCAAACTACCACTAAGTGAGAGAAAATGACTCAAATGACTTTGTTAGTGTACCAAATAACCATTTCAACATATAATTTAACACATATTTGCTGTCAAAACAAAGAATTCATATAATTCAACAAAATAGACTGTAACGACAAACGCAACAAACCAAGCAACAATTATGAAACACGACAGAAAAATAAACACACCACACAAAGATATATACATGATTCGGCAAAGCCTACCTCTATGGTGTAGATTTGGCGAAAGTCTTCACTATTTGTAAAATTGGAGATTACAAGTTTCAGCCCCTCACTCTCAATTCTGTACGAATTTCAGTCTCTCTCACGCACCCACTCCAAACCCTAAACACCCTTATATATTGGGCTACGAGAGAGTACTAATTATGGTACACAACAAATAAGAAAAAAGGGTTCAAAAAGGTTATCCAATGGGTTGTAAGTGGGTCATAACGCGACCCGACACCAAATTTGGGCCACAACATCACAAATCTCCACCTTGGCTCGAATTACGCCACGCTCCACCATCTCTAGCTACTCCTTTCGCCTCCATCGTATGCCCTTAAGGGCCTTAGCAACTGCAAGTATCAATCAAGTCCAGACAATGTCTGAACTTGAGAGTATGAATGACCTTAGTCATCATATCTGCCAGATTCTCTGCTGTCCCAATCTTCCTCACTGCAATAGCACCCTGTGCAACCACATATCTGATGAAGTGAAACCTGAAATCAATGTGTTTGGTCCTCTCATGGAACATCTGATTTTTAATCAAATGTATGCCACTCTGGCTGTCGCAAAACACAGTTAATCATCCTGCTGCAAGCCCAAATCACCAACCAAGCCTCTCAACCATATAACTTTCTAACTTTCTTCACTGTCTTTGTAGGTGCCATGTACTCAGCTTCAGTAGTAGACAATGTAACTATGGGCTGCAAAGTCGCCTTCCAACTAATCACACTCCCACAAAGAGTGAAGACATACCTTGTCAAGGACCTCCTCCTATCAAGATCTCCAGCATAATCCAAATCAACATATCCAACAACACTACCACACGTGCTGTTAGCTCTGTCATAGACTGAGCCATCATTTGCAGTGCCTCGCAAGTACCGCAATATCCACTTCATAGCCTGCCAATGGACCTTCCTAGGTTTATCTATGTATCTGCTTAATACATTAATTGCATGTGAAATGTTTGGCCTAGTGCACAACATAGCATACATGAGGCTACCAACTGCACTAGCATACTGAACACGAGACGTGCTCCACCTCCTTCTCGGTCTGTGGTGACAATCGTGTTAAAAGTCTAAAATGGGCAGCCAATGGGGTACTCACAGGCTTTGACGCTTGCATACCAAAGCGTTCTAGCACCTTCTCAATGTATTTCCTCTGTGACAAATACAATCTGCCCGCTCCTCTATCCTTGTGAATTTCCATATCCAATATCGTGTTTGCAGCACCAAGATCCTTTATCTCAAACTCATCACTAAGTTGAGCCTTCAACAAGTTGATTTCAAACATGTTCTTGCAAACTATCAACGTGTCATCAACATACAACAACAATTACAAATATGAACCATCTGAGAGCCTCCTGTGATACACACAACTGTCAAACTTACTCCTATAGTAGCCATTCCCAACCATAAAGGTGTCAAATCATTTGTACCACTGTCTAGGAAACTGCTCCAACCCTTACAAGGATTTCTTCAGTAGGCAAATATGATCTTTCTTTCCCAAAATCTCAAACCCCTGAGGCTGATGCATATAAATTTGCCCTTCCAACTTACCATGCAAGAAAGCAGTTTTGACATCAAACTGCTTTAACTCCAAGTCATACAGAGCAACGATAGCAAGTAACATCCGGATTGAAATATGTTTTCACCATAGGAGAAAACACTTCATTGAAGTTTACCCCTTCCCTCTGTGTATTGCCCTTTGCCACTAAGCATGCCTTGTACCTCACATCTTTGACCCTTGGAGTTCGTTCCTTTTTCTTGAAGACCCATTTACAGCCCACAATCTTCTGTCCCTTGGGCTTCTTAACTAGCTCCTAAGTATGATTCTTATGTAGAGACTCAATCTCCTCACTCATGGCAACAAACCACTGTGCTGACTCTCTACCTCTGATGGCCTCATGAAAAGTACACAGTAATTGCTCATCAATATCCTCTGCAACACTAAGTGCATAAGCAACCGAATCAACATGTGAAAACCCATACTTCTCAGGTGGCCTAATATCCCTCCTAGGCCTGTCTCTAGCCATACTATAATGCTGCAACTGTGTATCTCCATCAGCCAGAAACTGCACCTACTAATTAGTCGACCGATCAGGACTATCCTCTTACTGAATCTCTACATGCTCCACCTGTTCACTGACACCCTGAGCTCTCCCTAAATCAGCTACTTCCTTCTGCGGAGTAAGCATTGCAGACTCATGAAAGGTCACATCCCTACTAACAACTATCTTTTTTCCCGAAGCCTCTAGGCACCATAATCTGTATCCCTTAACCACGAGCTGATAACTAAGAAATATGCATTTCTTAGCCCTTGATTTAAGCTTTCCCTCATTTATATGAGCATACGTTGGACACCTAAATATTCTCAGATTATTGTAACTAGCAGTTGAACTAAACCATACCTCTTTCGGAGTCTTACAGTCGATAGCAATAGATGGAGACCGGTTCACCAAGTAACTAGTTGTAGAAACAACTTTAGCCCCTAACCCTTTGTCTAACCTTGCATTGGACATCATACATCGTGCCCTCTGTAATAGCGTTATGTTTATCCGTTCTGCAACTCCATTTTGTTGTGGAGTCTTCCTCATTGTGTGGTGCCTCACAATCCTGTGAGTCTTCAGAACTCGTTAAATTCTTCATCACAAAATTCCAAGCCATTGTCTGTCTCAAGTGCTTGACTTGTTTTCCACTCTACTTCTCAATCAAGGTCTTCCATTGCTTGAATGTAACAAAGGCCTCATTCTTGTGCTTCAGAATGTAAATCCAAACTTTCCAAGAAAAGTCATCAATTAGCGTTATCATATATTTACCACCACCATGTGAAGTAACCTGAGAGGGACCCCAAAGATTAGAATGAATATAATTCATCGTACCTTTGGTCCTGTGAATTCCTATACTGAACTTCACTCTGCACTGCTTCCCAAGACACAATGCTCACAAAAATCCAGCTTTTTAGATTTCTGAAAACCAAGCAAACCCTGCTTACTCAGAACATCCATCCCCCTCTCACTCATATGCCCAAGCCGCATATGTAGTATGTGAATTTGGATCCGAGGACGATAAAACAACTGAACCTGTGACTGTGCTACCCTGTAGAGCATATAAACCATGCTTCTTCAGTCCCTTTATCACCACAAGAGCACCATTTGAAACCCGAATGACTCCATCTCCAGCCTTGTAAGTGCACCCGATGGAATCCAGCGTATCCAGTGAAATCAAATTCTTTTTCAGTTCTGGTATATGCCCGATATCAGTCAATGTCGTCACAATCCCATCATACATCTTAATTCAAACTGTATTGATACCTACAACCTTGCACGCCGCATCATTCCCTGTCAGAACTTCCCTTCCATAAATAGATCAATAAAAGGTAAACCAATCCCTGTTTGGACAAGCATGAAACGAACCCCCCGAATCTAGAATCCGCTCATTGCAAGAGTTGCCGACTGAAATCGTGAGAACGTTAGCACCATCTGAATACCCTCTACAACATCCTAACTAACAACTTCAGAGGATTTTCCCTTTCCCTTCTTACGCTGC